TCAAAATTGAAATTTCATGTCATAGGTTTTAAAGATTGATCTCAAAAAACGAAAATTTCACTACGACTGGTCAATGACAGTGATCAATTTTTAAAATCTCACGAGAATCGTAAAAAATGGTAAAAATCGCGCCACGATTATTTATTTAACACCTTTATAAAAACTGAATGTATTTTCGGCAAGATACAAACTTTCTATCTGATGTCTGCAGTCTTTATCTTTAAAACAGTCTCGATAGGACACTTGAATCAAAAGATATCGAATTTTTACTGTCGAGCTGATACAAATTTTATTGAACATTGATTTCGCGCACGTAACTGACATTTAAAATCGACAATAATTTTAAGCATGGTTTCTAAGAGAACAGTTTATTCTACATAAACATTTTTATCTGAAGCTTTTTTTTACCGTCTACAGATTCTTGGTAAATTGATTTTTTTGCGTTTTTAGCCCCGTACGAGCGGCGTTTTAAGGGGAAGCCCAAAAGTAAAAGTAATAAACCTTTTTGCATCTTTTTTAGGGTCTCAAAATTACTATTCAACCCCCTCTGTGGCTCAGTGGTAAGAGCGCGTACCTTTAAACCTAAAGGTCGTGAGTTCGAATCTCATCTGGGTGGAGAAATTTTCGTTTATTAAAAAATTAATAAATGAAAATAATTTCTATCCTTGGGCGATCGGTACTCACCGGAGGGACCGCAGACGTTCGGATACAATTAGCGTCTCTTAGCAAAGACAATGACGTCGACTTTGCTAAGTATCAAGACAATTACTCTACACACACACACACACACTACACTAGGTACCTGATTGTACCATGCCAATGATCTTGTTCGTATGATTTTAGGGGTCAACTCTCTGACGACTGGACTAATTAAAAAATGAGCCGCTTATGAACGCAATTAAAAAAGTATTCACGTAGTGTGATAAGTTAGATTACAAAACAGATATATAAAATGTTATCACTTACAAAAATAACTTTTGGAAAGTATTTTAACTTAAACGTATAGAAACCATTTTAAAGCAATATAGCTTCTTGAGATAAGGTCGTATACGTCAAATTGACAAAAAACAGTGCCTACCGTTTGCAGGATAAAGAATGAGGAAAGGTACAAAGAAATAAACAAAATCGTTAAGAAAAATATTAAAGAAATAAAAGAATCATGGCTACAAAATTAATGCATAGAAATAGAATCCCTAGAACAAAAGCATGACACTTTTAACTTACATAAAAAGATCAAAAACTTAACGGGAGAAAACGGATCACGAAGTCATAAATTAATACTAGATAAGCACAACAATCTGCTCTAAATGAAAAATGAGGGAATACTTAAGAGATGGAGGGAATACATGGAAAAATTATTCAAGGAAGAATTATTCAGTGAAGTAACATATGCAATAAAAAGACTAAAAACCAACAAATCACCTGGACCTGATAACATATAAGCTTAAATATTGAAGCTATTTGAAAACAACCAATTCAAACTCCTAAAGAGTCTACTGAACATAATCTATGAAACTGCAGAATTTCCTACTGATTGGCTAGTTTCCACCTTCATCTCTCTTCCCAAAAAGGCAAATGCCACCAGATGCTCTGATTACAAAATAAAAAGCTTAATGAACCATATAGAAAAGCCATATATAATTATTGGGACCGTGCAAGTTCGGAAAAGCGGCACCTGGTGTCGTAAATTAGCAAAATTCACTGCGCTTTCATGTTAGATCGAGGTTACCGTATAACTGTCAAGGACGTAGCCCCAAAAAAGAATAAGAAGAAAAAGTAAGATTGAGGTTATGTCGATGTGTTATTAAAAGGTAAACGTTGTATGTAGTGTAAATACAAATAAATAAATTATTAAATTACAGCATTACTGTTAATATGGATGCAATAATAAAAACTGGATTTGGGAAAGTAAATCAGCAAATAACTTTTCAACCAAGCACTGAATCAAAGGGAAAAGCTTTGGTAATGGCAAATTATGTTAAGAATGTGGAAGAATTAAGAAAAATGGACAAAGCTATGTAATACATAGCTAAACTTAAAGTTACATTAGCATTAAACTTGATTTTTGGGTTAAAGTGAACTCTTAAGTGAGTGTTATGAAACTAAAATTTTTAATTAAAAGTGAACTTTTATTTATTATTTATTTCAAACTGACTTTAAAATCGGGCGCAAGAATAATGCATAATTTAGGTTATGTTACTTACTTATGCTTTTTTATGATATAAATTAACTTTTCTCTTTGTAGTAATTTGTGCTTCGAAGTTGGAAACGAATAAAACTTAAATTGACAATTTGTTGTTGTATTTTTACAATTTATAACACAGCATTTACCAAATCCCATTTTCTTCAATAACAGAAGGTGTAAATAAACAAACGAATATGAAATATGACAATTTGACAACTGATAATATGACTTTATGAAATCTATGAAATGTGCAGTAAAAAATGCAAGATTTCTCCTGTACTCGCGCACGATCGTTTCTCGTATCACATCCAAGTACTTGCACGTCGCCAATAGAAAATTTGAAGAAAACTTTAGCAGTGTTCAGTTTGGGTTTAAAAGCGTACTGGGAATGCGAGGGGCTCTATTTTCCATAGAAGTATTGATACAAAGAGATCGAGACGTAAATTGCGAAGTCTACGCATGCTTTATAGACTTTGAAACAGCATTTGACAATATGCAACATCAAAAATTATTTCAGATACTGAATGAATCTGGTATTGATGACAAAGATTTACGCCTAATTAAAAATTTATACTTACAGCAAGGGGTAACTGTACGAGTAGACAACAAAACCTAACAAGAATTTACGATAAAACGGGGAGTACGACAAGGCTGCATTTTGTTACCGACGTTTTTTAATACTTACTCAGAAATGCTATTTAGGGAAGCTATTTATGGTTTAAGGGAAGGTAAAAAAATCAATGTTAAAATCATAAACAATTTAACATGTGCGGACAATACGGTTTTGATTGCTGATGATGGGGAGGATCTGTAAACATTAATAAACCCTGTAGTGGAAGCCTGTGACAGATACGGCATGAAATGAAACTGTAAGAAGACCAAAATTCTTGTGGTAAGTAAAAACGACGTAATACAGCACCAATTCACAGCTAATCATGAACCCTTGAAAATAGTTGACAAAATTACATATCTTGAATGCAGCCTAAATAAGGAATGGGACCACTCACATGAAATAAGATGTATAGAAAAGGCGAGAGCTGTCTTCAATCGACAGGGTTGTGTTCTGTCACCCCTCCTTTTTAACCTTTACTCTGAAACGGTTTTCGATATAGCCTTAAGTGACACTGAAGATGGAATCAAAATCAACAGACAGACTATTAGTAATCTTCGCTATGCTGATGATACAGTCATAATAGCTGATAGTCGAGAAGCGCTACAACCACTAATAGATAGAATAAACACTGAAGAAGAACGAGTGGGCTTGAAGATTTATATAGACAAGACGAAGGTAATCGTGGTTAGTAGAACGCAAAATATGCAACTGAATATACGAGTAAACAACAAGAACATCCAAAAGGTCCCCAAGTTTAGATATCTCTGTAGTTGGATAACTAAAGATCTAGATCCAGACATAGAGATACGTAGCAGGATTGAGCAAGCCAGAACAGCCTTTACTAATATAAGAACTCTGTATTTAATATATCGCTTTGTAAAATGTTACATTTACTTCATACTGCTATATGGTGTAGAAACCTGGACCATAAAGGCCAATGTGATGAACCGATTGGAGGCCTTTGAAATGTGGGTATTTAGAAGTATACTTAAAATTTCCTAGACAGATCACACAACAAAAGTCGAAGTATTAAATCGAATGGGCAGAGAACGAGAATTGCTGCCAATAATAAAAAGAAGAAAAACTGCTTATCTGGGGCATATATTTCAAAATTCCAAGTACCAGTTCTTAAAGCTTATTATGAAAGGGAAGATGAGAAGAGAAGAGAAGGAAAACGAGGCACCGGAAACAAGAAATACTCATGGCTTAAAAACATAAGGGATTGGACAAATCTCGATGCCCAGGCACTTTTTAGAGCCACACAAGATCGAGAGGAGTATTCCAGAATTGTCGCCAACATCCACTAATTGGATAGGGCACCATAAGAAGTCTTCAATCGCCTCAGGATGATTTTATGTAATATGCACCTGAACATCGATATAAGAACACGAGTCTTGAGATGCTATATATTTGCTACCCGTTTATATGAAGTCGAAGCCTGGACCTTGACGGAGGCAACATCCAAACGATTATAAGCGTTCGAAACGTGGTGCTACCGCAGCATGCTCAGAATTTCCTATGTCCATCATGTTACAACCAACACCGTGATCCAACGTATGAATAAAGATCTGGAAATTATGCGTATCGTGAAAATCAGATAGATGACATACTTAGGGCATGTGATGCGCAATGAGAAGTATCAACTAATTAAACTAATTTTACAAGGCAAGATAGAATGTAAAAGATTGTTGCAAGGGCGCAGAAAAATATCGTGGCTGAAGAACATCAGACAGTAGGTAGGAATGACTAACACACGTCTATTTAGAGCAGCTGCCAAGAAAATTGTATGGACCAACTTGATTTCCAACATCAACACAGGATAGGAACCAAAAAAAGAAGACGAAGACCGTTTGCAGTTTTATTTTGTAACTAGAATTTGCGAAAAATAATTTAGTATATACTCATTATTAAAATAAATGTTGGAATAAATAAATAGATAAAGGAAATCTAAAAAGATGTTTAAGACAGTTTATTTTTAGTTTATTTAATAAATAAAAAAATAAGGTATTACTTAGGTGGCCAATATTTAAATATGGAATTAACGGAAATTTTTACAACCATTTATATGTAGTTTTCCGCTATAAGAAAATAAAAATAAATATTAAAAATCAAGTCCATTTTTCAATTGTATCAATTTTCCGATGCTTTTTAAGACATTTCTAAACTAAATTCAAGACAAATTCAATATATTACATATGAGACTTAAACACACTTACTTTTAAGTTCCAATCCTTCCGGAGGACACGGTCCTTGGCTCAACATGCAAGCAGTATAATAGTTAACCAACCTCCTATTATTAAGTATCATCTCTACGTCTACATGGTCATATTTCGTTGTATAAAACTCAGTTTCTTCGGGTGCAGGGGCCGATACCACTAACCCACATAATCCTGCAATTACAACACAAAATAACGGTACCATTCTTTTCCGTATTGGCTGCTACGTCTTCGCCGATTTCGTATTTTAGCGGTGCCACTTGCAGTGCGACTGAACGAGTGGTTGTTGCGTTGGAGAATGTTTACAACTGAACCAACTGCTTTCTTGGTTAATTGTTGTTCCTTTGATGCATTAAAGAGCAAGGTTATTGAAGTGGAAGAAGTGGATGTTGGCCACAGCCGAGTTATATTTATGTTATTGATGAGTGGTTTTTCTACGCGCGGATAGTAGTCTGATGAGTAATATTTTCTAACAGTTATTAGTTTTCTTGTTACACTTAAGCATTATCGCATTTGGAAAAAATAATTTATATTTAGCTCCATCAATTCGCTGGGTTTTACTATCAATTTTTTTTAATATCATATAAAATTGAAATTTTTGTTAAATATTTCTCATGCGTTTCCGTATTTCTAAAAAAAGTCTACTGCAAAATATTGAAGCATATTCTAAAATTTATTTATTTTCTACCTTTGGTAGTCTTGTAACACTAAAAGAATCTATGAGTGTCCAGCTATTTGTTTTCTCTCTCACTCGTTTCCTTAATCTCTTTTATTTATATCGAGAAATGTCTTCCAACAGAATCATGAGATATACATCGTCCCCTATTTTATGTTCTATATCTTCCATTGGCCATTGTCTTTTTAGGTGTTCTGGTATTAAATGTGCCCCACTTATGACAGCCTATTTTTTTATATATCGAAAAATAGCGTGCCCCTCGTTTAAGTAAAATTGTTTAAGTAAACATCCCATTTATTTACAATCTGTAATTGTTTAATTAGATTACAAGAGACTTGCAATTGACTGTCCAGTGACATTAACCTATTAAATCATAATTTTAGTAACAAAATTATTTGTGACTCTAATATAATATTAATAATAAATTAAAAAAAATTTAATTTAAAAATTTAAAATCTTGTTGGAAGATCGCTTGGAGTAAGACGCTTGAGTCTTCTGTTTGCCTGGGGCCTCATAAGGTTCTTCGCTAGCCTGTTGGGGTGGTTTTGCAGTCGTCTGTCATATTTTTGGGAGTAACTGGTAATTTCTTCTTTGACAGTTTTCATCTGAAGATCGCGATTGATGAATCCATTTAGCATGTACCACGGTGCATTTGTGATAATGCGGAAGGTCTTCAATATAAATCTCTCCAGTATGTCGACATTGAATCTTGACGCAGATCCACACAGTTGGATCCCATAGCTAAATATTGGCTTTATCACTGACTTGTATAATAGGATTTTATTATACAAATTCAGTGGTATTTTTTCTATAAGCCTATTTTCTATTTTACTGAATTTCAGACCGAACTGTTTTCTTTTCGTGAATATGTGTTTCTTCCACGGTAATCTGCGGTCCAGGTGCATACCTAAGTATTTTACATCATCTTTTTGTTGTTCTTCTTCTTCTTGATGTGCCTATCCGTTATGAATGTTGGCGATCATCATAGCAATCTTTATCTTATCTGCAGCAGCGCGGAAAAGCTGCACAGACGTTGTATTGAACCAGATTCTGAGGTTCTTTAACCAAGATGTTCTTCTTCTTCCCGGACCTAGCTTTCCAAATATTTTTCCTTGCAGGATGGCTTTTGTTGTAGTATTTGGTTATTTAATGAGACGGTTGGGCATGTACCTTTTTGATTAGTGAACGTTATATTTACTGACCTGCTTTCGTTAACTTTAATTCGACATGTTTGTAATCAAATCTCTATTTTGTCAAAATTGGTCTGGAGCAGTTGTGAGGTGACATACGGATTTGAGTGGGGTACTCCAACTTTAATTGAATATAAGTTAGTGCACTGATCCTCTACTTTTACAAGGAAATGCCGGTCGGAAAGATAGGACTTGGGGATTAGAAAGTAGTTGAGAGATAGGACTTGTCTTATTTTATATAGCAGGCCAGTGTGCCAGACTTTATCAAAAGCCTAAAATATACCCAAAAAGGCTAGAGAACAGTATTTCTTTTCTTCTAAGGCTTTGTCTATGGAATTGCAGATTCAGTGAATTTGCATAAAAGTAGTATGCTGTTGTCTAAATCAAAACTAGTGGTTGGGTATTAGCTGCTGTTTGAGAGGATTGGCTGTATTCTGTCTGGTAGTAGTTTTTTAAAAACCTTTGACATCACTGAAAGTAGACTTATATAGCTCTCTAGGACTTAACTTCTTCTACAGGTTTGACTGGTTTGGGTAACCAGTAACCAATTCTTAGTATTGCGTTAAAAATCTGTGTGAAATATTGCACCTCTTTCTTGGGAAGTTATTTTAGAATTCTTGCAGTGATTAAGTCGAACCCTGGGGACTTCTTCGGATTCAGATCTGTTTGGATTTTGTTAAAAACTTGTTTGTCAGTGAATTATTTCAAGAGTGCTTTAAGTTGGTATGGAGATTCTAAATACGATTGTATATTATCTTCTGCATCGGAGTTGTTGTTTTGAGTATGTGATTGGAACACTTCCTCCAGGTATTTTGCAAAGACTGTGGTCTTTTCTTTGTTACTTTTGGCCCGTTGTCCATTACTGGCCCAAATAGGCAAGTAAGAAAGTTGTGGTCGATTAATTTTTCGTGTTACCTTCCATAGTGAGAATTCGGAGGCTTCCGTAGCAGATAGATTTAGTAAATATCGTTTTATGTCATTGTTTTTATTGTAATTTAATAATGTTTTTAATCTTGCTGTAGCTTGATTTAATCTATTTTTATCTTGAAGTGCTCAGGTTTTTGACCAGATTTTTCTTAGTCTTCGTTTTTCTGCGATTTTTTCATCGATTTTCTAATTGTTATTAATTTTCTTGTTACACTTAAGCATTGTCGAATTTGGAAAAAATAATTTATATTTAAATCCATCAATTCGCTGGGTTTTACTATCAATTTTTTGGAATATCATATATAATTGCAATTGTTGTTAAATATTTCTTATGCGTTTCCGTATTTGTAAAAAAAGTCTACTGTAAAATATTGAAGCACATAATCTAAAATTTAATTATTTTTTGCATCTGGTAGTCTTGTAACCCTTAATGAATCTATAACTGTAAAGCTATTAACTTGCTCTCTCATTTTTTTCTTAATTTTTTTACTTCTAACGAGAAATATCCTTTAACAGAAACTCGAGATAGACGCCATCCTCTATTTTATATTTCATGGCTTCGATTGGACCATTGTCTTGAATGGTTTAAATGATCGGTTTGAATGGTTTAAATGAAGGAAAATTATTTAAATGAAATTCTTCATCATTTAATGCAGAATTGATGATAAGGATTTCTTTGGTTCCTCAAAGAATGATATTCTACATATCATTCAGACATCAACACTACCGAACAGTACACTTTTATCTATTTGATCATCTTGGTTTTTTTGTAATTACTCATTTTATAGTCCATAGTTGAAATTTTTGTTTTGTAAGTAATCGTTTTAATTTTTCTATATAAATTCTTTAGAAATATGTTTTCTAATTTTGATACTTGATTAATTTATTTGATCGATTTCCTCGTCCTTTTCTGCATCTTACCCACTATACGTTTTTTTTTTGATTTGTCCTACAATTTTTTAAGCAGTGTTTGTTATGATCAATTTCAACTGTCTTCATTTATCTTCTTTGATATATTCTTTCCTGAAAATGAACTTAATAAGTTAATCAATGTTGCCTTAAACTATTTCAACGACTCTACAAATTCCTAAAATTTACTAAATCACATTACTACTTAAAAAGTTTAAACAGACAATAGTTACAACTACAATAGCAGAATTGAGTTCTCCATTCAACAATACATAGTAGTTTCGACCATGTTCTACCATCCATCAATTAATAGAGTACCGGCATGTAAGTAATATTTATTTATTTGCTCATTTATTAATTTATTGCAATCTAATAGACTATTTCATAACAATTTGTGGGCCTTATCTTGTCTGTTCAAAGTTTTTAAAACTGTTATACCTTTTTATACAACTTACTCTGTTTGAAATAAAACCACAGCCATGTAATATTGGCATAATTATTGTAATTTCCAACATCTACTTTGTTTATCTTTATTAAACAACACCCTAATATGGGTTTTTATCATTTCAGCATTTATTTAACTTTGTATCGAGACCTGAAGATGCTTTGCATCTTGTAGAAAGCGAAACCGGTCGTCTGATAGTTAAATTAAATTGATTGTGAGTAAGTCTTATTTATTATTTCTTTACCTATTTAACATTACATCATTTATAGTTTCAGATCAAAAGGCATCTTATTCGACTACTGTACGTCGAGGTATAAAATGGTACAGGAAAGTTGTAGTGGAACTTATAACAAATACTGCAATAGTAAATGCTCATACCGCCTATCAATCCTTGACTGGAAAAACTATCAGCATCACTAATTTCAGAAAAGCAATTGTCAATAAGATTTTTGAAAAAAGGCATGTATAATTAAGGATTCCAGATCCAGCCGAAACCGCTAAATGTCACAACTTAGTTGACACCAAATCTAGAGGAAGATGTACAAGGTGTTATAAAATGAACAGCGAGAAAAATGGCCGAACTTACCTTATCACAAACAGACTAGTCGTGTGAAATTGCACTGCAAAGAATGTAAGCATAAATTCTTATGTATGAAGTGTTTTTTCGATACCCACAATTGTACTATGCGCAAGTGATAAGCGTGACCAATTACGGTACACATAGTTTATGATAACAATATTACTTTTCTATATCCAGAAACTGTGTATACCATTTTTCGACACAGCTATCAAACATTTATTTTTTGCAATAAAAAACTCATTTCATATTTATGTTATATATATACTACATGCAAATAAAGTATTCTTAAAAAAAAGTTGTTAGTCTCTGGTAGGCATTAAAATCAAAACCCCTAGTAGTCAAAGTGTTAAAAAAAATTTTAATGTAAATAATACTAGACAATTATCCCCACTGGTCTATGTATATAATGTTAAATATGTAGAAATGTCAGAAAAAAGTGGATATTTTTAAACTAGTTAGAAATATATTTTGACCACTA